CATAATAACATTGTAGCTGGGAAATGTATAACTGGGGAAGGATTATAAACTCTTCCCGGTGAGTGAGTGGCTGCAGTACAGGCATTTAACCACTGTGCCACCAGGGCTCCTTGAACTTGTACACTGCCCTGAGATGTTTCAGAATGTCAATGTTCCATAACTCTCTTATGTGGCATCCTTGATGTTGGTATCACCTGGTGCAGGTTCCTGGTGTTGCTGGGAGGACAACAAGAACCCACCTTCCCAACTGGCTTTGCAAGTGCAGAGGCAGGCAGTGGCTCCCCAGGGCTCAGGCTCTGCTGGCCCACATCCACATCCTCTATCAGGCCCTGAGGGGCCAAAGCTATGGGCAGTCCCACCAGCCGATGAGGCAAAACCCCAAGGCCCTGTTAACTTCAGGTGGGGTTCTTCCATGGCATGAGAAGCCCAACCAGCCACCTTTCCCTCTGGTGGATAGTGCAGGCACTGCTTATGAAGGATACTTAACAGGGTTGGGATTCCTGTTGAGCTGGCAGACTCATGGAGTCCCACTTTTTTGTAACTGAACAGGTGATTTTGCTATGGTTTGAGAACTCTGGCAAGTGCTACAACTTATCTGAACACACAATCTGACTGTGTTGAACTGAAAAATCATGGCTGTTGAGAACCCTTTTTAACTAAGGGCTGAATTGCCCTGGTCATGGATATAAGATAGCGCCCATGCTAACAGTGTCCCCACCAACCCATATGTCAGAAGCACATTCAATCTCTCAGCCACAATATGTATATTGTTTATCACTTCAGCTCAAATACATTTTTAAAAGGACTTTTTGAAACAGATTTACATACAACCAAACAGTCATCTGACCAAAGGAATAATATTATGAATGAAATAGGAGTATTTTGACTTCAAGAATCCAGGCTGAAAAGCACTCCCATTATGGCCTGTCATCATCCTAGCCATGATAGATCCAGAAGTCAATAGAATCCAGCAATATTTGAAGGGAGGATTCAGATTCGGCATGTATAAACATGAATTTTCAGTCCAGCAGAGAGAGAGAGATGCGAGAGAGAAAGCGCGACAGAGTGAAGAGAGTTTTACTAGAGAATCATACTTCTTATCATGGAGAGGGAAAAGATGATAGCCTTAAGAGTGGCAAAGAGGAAAAGTCAACATGCCATGATCAGCTGGAGAGGGAGATTTGAACACTTTTCTGTGTTGCAGCAGAATGGAGTTTTGTGGGTAACACATGCTTTAATACAGTAAGTGAAGAGACAGGCAGGAAAGAGAGGAAGAGAAAAAGAATATGGATAGAAAGAATGAAGCCTGACTACCTGTAGTTACTTTATCATGGAGTTTTTCTACTTTTTCAGAGATGGCTGTAGTATAGGATGTTGCAGTTCTACGTGAAACTTGAACAGAAAGTATCTTTTCAAGAGCCATAACATCATGAAAACATTTTGTAGTACGCAACTTTCATTGCAAGCATGTGTGGTGTAGTGGTTAAAGCATCAGACTTTGACTCTCAAGATCGGGATTCGATTCCCCACTCAGCCATGGAAATCCAATGGGTGATCTAGGGCAAGTCACACAGTCTCAGCCCCAGGCGATGTCAATGGCAAACTGTCTCCAAAGAAACTTGTCAAGAGAAGCCCATGATAGGGTCACTTTAGGGTGGCCCTAAGTCAAAAACAACATGAAGATACACAACTACAAAAAACAACAGAAACTTTCATTAGTATTAAAATCAAAAGCTAAAGTGAAATGATAAGCAGTATCCCTTTAGTGGCATATGTGTACATGACAAGTGTGTTTCTTTCATTGGAAGCTTTACTAGATATTACTGTCCTTCTAGAGGACAGAAATTCATGGAGCAGCACATAGTAGGCTTTATCTTCCAATGCCAAAAATGCACAATATTGGCTGAGATACCTAAATACGGCAGTGGTTTGGTTGACTGACATGGAATACTGAGTTCTAAGTCATGGCTGAGCTAGGAAAATTATTTTGGGCTAGTTTTTTTTTTTTATTACTCAGCCTGATGTGCTTCATTGTTTGTTGTGAACATAAAATGAGAATGAGAAACATGTATATGCACTGATGGAAGCCAGGGTGTAATTCCTATTAATAAAAATAAATCAATGTAATTCTTTGCATTAATTTTAATTAAAAGAATTAAAGAAGCCAAAAGACCCAGGCCTGGTTCCCATCAAAGTATGCTGAGTTTCAGGAAGGGCCTGACTTTGTAAGCTTTGGCATGAAATGGTAGCCAATATAGAGAAATATAGAAATAGAGGGCTTTTAAGCACCAAACAGTTCCAAGACTAACTTTTTTGCCTGCAATACTAGGATCTGACGCCTTCTTCTAGTCCAGGGTAGGCTTCTCTTGGTCACATTAAAAGATGGGGTTGGAATTAACTTTCCATCTTCATAAGCATTAAATCCAAGATTTGTGTCTTATTATGTCCAGAGCAGAGTGACAAGTCTCAAAGCTGCTACAAGATCCCATTGCATACTGATT